CCGGAACAACCAGACAGACAGACAATCATTTAAAAAATTGTTCTATTATTTTATAAAAATCGTGTATATACTTTTATATTATTATAAGCATTTAGTTAAAAGCTGTTATTTTGACATTACAAACAGACACTTCAATTTTACTTTTTTGTATGTAGATTAATTTCTCGCCGAAATCATACAATAACAAGTATATTATTAAATTACCTAACTGGCAAATATAAAATGTTATGTTTTAATGACATAAGAACATATAACCCGTGCACTTAAAGAATGGGATTGAAAATGGCGGCGCCTCTATTCACCTCTCGCTTGCACACTGTCGCTATCTGTACTCACACACGCCGTAGCGACTGCATAAAAAAATACGTTGCGATATGTGTTTTTCGTACGTTCTATAACTTCAGTCCAATTTGTTATTGGAATTAATAATAACAAATTGCCATAAACCACATAAAATCCGTCCAGTTTTGCCATTTTGTGAGCTACGACGCGTTCTGAGTTTTCTTCATAATTTAATGTTATTTAAATTTATTTTTGCAATTGAGAAATAAGTGACCATTTTTAAAATTTTCGTTTGTTTGTCCTTCAGAATAGGTGAACCGATGGCAATAAAACTTCATGAAAAAATAGAGTGTAATACTAGGAGTGATCTAGACTAAATTTTAACCGAAAAGTTTAGAGATTTATTAAAATAGAAATATTAATATATAAAAGAAAAGGACTTTAATGAATATTTCTTAAGTCTAAATAACGACCTTAGACCAATGGTGTAAGATAACGCCACACAAGTTATAAATTTAACTATAAATTGATGTATCTACTTGCGTGTACATTTTTTTTCGAATATGTTCTCATTAATAGAAAATTTCCAATTAACCGAATAATATAACGTTATAACGATATACGTTATTAGAGGGTTTTCAGTATTGGTACTGTACATGTTGACGGTACGGGATCTAAGAGCCGTCATATCTAATTCCATTCTTTATCCATACGGGCTATACATTTTTGAACTGAAAACTTCTTTCATACTTTTACTATCATTGATTGAAAAATAAACTCCATGAAACGAAAAAGCGACACTAAAAAAAGACTAGATATCTTTAGGATTTATGCTGCGAGGGAACGAGATAGAAAATTTTATTCAATTAGTTGTGCTTAGGCGATCTAGCGTCTATTTTGCATACTGTCTTGAGATTAAATCAATTATTGTTGTGAATGAAGTACATTTCACTATTACAAATTCATTGCTATGCAGATGACAGAACTGGTGATGCTCTGTGCACCGGCCGTGCCAATATTTCTTGGGAAAACGTCTCCGAGTACCGGGACAAACTTGTGTCTGAAATCGAGTCTTTGCTGAACAAAGTCTTGGATCGGGAGCGACTAAATCTAGTCCAGTTTAACCCTCACAAGACACAAGTTTGCGCGTTAACCGCTAAAAAGAACCCCTTTCTAGTATCTTCTCAGTTTCAAGGCACTCCCCTTGTTGCCTCAGCCAGTATCGGAATCACTGTGGTCACTTCGAAGAGAAGACCAAATTAGCCTCTAAAAAGCTTGGCGTGCTCAACAGAGCGGGACAGTATTTCATCTCGGCACACCGCCCGCAACTTTACAAGGCGCAGGTTCGGCCTCACATGGTATACTGTTCCCATATCTTTTCACTCGGTGTATGCTAAGTGTGTGGTAGAGGGGGTTTTCCCCAAAGTATGGAAGGACGGAAGACTGATTGTCATTCCCAAGGGTAATGACAAGCCGCGCACCAAGGCGTACCGTCCAATAACGCTCCTGCTTGTTTTGGGAAAGCTATTAGAACGCGTCATTCAGAGATGTGCTCTCGCAATTAGCCGTGGGATATCTGAGTACCAGCACAGATTTTCTCCGGGGCGGTCTACGGTAACAGCGCTACGTTTATTGCTCAGCACGGCGAAGTATTCTCAGGCATGCTACGTACAAGATATCTTCTTGGACATCTCCGGTACCTTTGACAATGCCTGGTGGCCGATGATGATGGGCAAAGCTAAGAGGGGTGGATGTCCACCTAACATTTATAAAATGTTGGTGGACTACTTCACCTCCAGGCGTGTGGGCCACTACATTGGGGACCGGGTAGAGTGGAAGACCTCGACCATGGGATGTCCTCAAGGCTCTATGCTGGGCCTAACACTGTGGAACTTGTTGATGGACGATTTGCTCCGACTCTCTCTGCCTGAGGGAGTTGTCATGACTGCCTATGCTGATGATGTCACAATCTTGATTGAATCGGATACGAATCTAGGGCCAGGGTCACTCTAGACCTTGTACGGGAGTGGGGGCTGAGGAATAGACTGAAATTTTCCTCCTCAAAGTCAATCACCATGACTGTTAGAGGGAAACTTCAGCGCCCCCCCCCCCCCCCCCCCCGTTATTAAACTTGGTGGGGATCTATCAAGACTGTGACTACCGCTAAGGTACTAGGTGTGGTTTTGGACTCCGGGCTATCATTTGTGCAACATGCGTAATCTGAAATCTCTGAAAGGGCGACCAACGGATTCGGCAAGATGACTCGCGTATCGACATCGCCATGGGCTGTGCGATACCCGAGTTTAAAAATTGTCTAAAGAGGAGTGTTTGTGTCCACGCTTGCGTATGCGGCAGAGTGCTGGTACGAGCGAGCGAACATGTATACAGTCCGTAGCGTACTACTGAGATCGCAACGATCTGCCCTTGTATTGCTGACCAAGGCGTAACGATCCACTAGCACGGCGGCCTTACCGGTGCTGGCTGGAGTTCTCCCAACTGACCTGGAGGTCACCCGTGCTGGTAGGATGGGTATGGCACGTCTGACGGCGCCCAAAGAGGAGTTGACCAGACGAAAGCGCGAAATCTGGACTGAGGTGATAGGTGCCTGGCAGGAATAATGGATGAATGATACGAAAGGACGTGAACTCTATCGATTTTTCCCGGAAGTGGCGTTGAGGCTGAGGTATACCTGGGTCTCACCGGACTATCAAATAACAAAAAAAAAGCCCAAAGGACTAACGAAAAAAAACGCGCGAAAGAGCAAGGTGCAAGTACCGCGCGCATCTCCCGAGATTCGGCCCGTATGACCTGAGGGTCGGTGGGGCTGGGAGGTGGTGGTTTGTTCCCATCTCTGAGCTGGGGCTCCCCAGTGCCAGCTCCTTCCACTTGACCGCATCCAGCGCAGAGCGGCTCGAATCGTCGACGATCGAGTGCTTTCCGATCGGCTCGATTCACTGGCGCTGCGAAGAGATGTTGCATCTCTTTGCATTTTTTATCGCATCTATCACGGGGAGTGCTCTGAGGAATTGTTCGGATTAATCCCAGCCGCCAAATTTCATAAACGCACTACAAGGCAAACCTCCCGATACTATCCACACAATCTAGATGCTTGGCGGTCCACTATTGTACGTTTCTCTAGAAGTTTTCTTCCGCGTACGACCTCTCTGTGAAATAGTTTACCACCGGCGATTTTTCCGGACCGATACGACCTGGGGACCTTCATGAAAAAAACTTAGTCCTTTTTAAAGGGCCGGTAATGCACCTGCAATTCCTCTGGTGTTGCGAATGTTCGTGGGCGGCGGTGGTCACTTAACATCAGGTGAACCGTATGCTCGTTTGCCCCGTTTTCTATAAAAAAAAGCTTATACTCAAATTAAAATATTCTTTTGAATTGTTACAGTAAAGTTTAGTTTAAAAATAAGGATTTTAGCACTTATTATTTGCTTTAAAATTTTATTTTTTATTATTATTCTATTTTGTATTTTTAATTTCTTTTACTTTTAGAAATATTCGTAATTGAATTTATCCATTTACGATCTTATTTAATTATTTAGTATTACCTACAACTATTAATATAAAATGTAACTCATACTTCGGAAAGAAACATTAATCTCTACACTTTTCTAACAAATTAAGTTCTTCTTTGAATATATCAAATATTAACCTTAGTCAAATATAGTGCCGACCTGGTAGCGGAAAAAGTCGTAGATTAAACATGTAAAATATAGAAAAAATATAAGAAAATATAGAACGTGGTTTTCAGTAATGTCATCCTTTCGTACAAGCGAAACCTCAGAGCAAAAAGCAACACAGAAGCTGCATCGAACAGATTACACGGACCACAGAACGAAGTTTTGGCCGGAACTTGGCCGCCGCATCGTGCCGCCGGTGGATTGCTGTTCTCGTAACCGTTTAGTTTAAATAATAGTTTGAAGTAGATGGTGATATAAATATACAAAAAAATGTATAACGGTGTTTATTGTAATTTTTGCGGCTAAAGGCCTTGTAGGCGATGCCAAAATAAAAAAAAATACAATTCACTCCATAAACTAACTTCACTCTCGTGTTGTTAAGTTCGGTTAAGTTGCCGCCTTGATACGTCAGTAAAATCGCCATCGAGTGACGTTTTTGGTAGACTGTCTACGAAATTGGTAGATTTTTAATATTAGTTACTCCAACTTTTGTCTTGCGATTAAAATTCTAATTTTCTTCCATATTTCATACTTCTAATTTCAAACTTAATTCCAGATAAATTTACAAATTTTGACGATAAATATAACTAGTTATTTATAATGATTAATACTGCAGTAGTATTAGTATAGTATCTATGGGGAATAGAAACAAAAACCGTAAAATTTTACTTAGCAGAAAATGCAAGCAATTTTAGTAGCTTGTAGTAGATTTTAGAATTTGCATCGAGCTTCGCATTTGGTAGAAAAGCGGTTTATGTAGATGGTCACCCCGCCCCGTAGACTAAAGATTATTATGGTCAACCTGTGCGTCAACGTCACGTCAGTCGGTCGTCCATTTTGACAACTTAAAATTATGTTGTACACGTGCAAATAAAGTTCTAATTGTAAGAACTGCATTTTAGTAAATGTGTAAATATGTCAATGCTTGCGGGCCCACGACGTAAACAAAAAGTTATAAATCTGCGTGCTAAAAATAGTGAATGGAGCAATGACAGCACTAAGTTTGGGCAACGAATGTTGGAGAAAATGGGTTGGACAGCAGGGAAAGGGTTAGGTGCGAAAGAAAATGGTATTGTTGAACATGTTGTGGCCAGATATAAAAACGATGAGAAAGGATTAGGATTTGAAGACAGAAACGATCAATGGACCAAGCACGAAGACGACTTTAACTCTTTACTCGCTAATTTATCTAATGGTAAAATAAGTTCTTATTTCTTATCGAAAGCTATTTATTAAAAGTAAATTATAATATTCGCAATTGGGAAATCGACACCACCTTTTATTAATAATTTCGTCAGTTTGATATTTGTTACTTTTATTATTGTCATAAAACGACAAAGTTATTTTTAAAATGATTAGGTACGTTTCAAATTATTATTATGTTTTTAATTGCATTTTTTTACGTAGTAGTGGCAAGCTGCAGCTATATTATGATTGTAGCTCGAATGGGTCGGCTCAATTAGGGAAGGACCACGCTTTCACAGAATACTGGCGTAAAATGCTGCTTTATGCGCTGTGTTTTATATATTGAATGTAAGAGATCTGGAGACCCTTTTCTCTGATTACAAGCTATTCCATCTTAGTCCTCAGGTCTGACAAAGCATTTGCATTTAAATTTTTAACAGCGGATAGATGTAGATGTCTATGGACCAGAATATCCAATTACTAGCAGGTGCACTGTGTGCTTGTTTGACACCCTTATTTAATAAAAAAAATTGAATGCATTTCTCAGTGTTAGATGGATTGACAACCTAGTAAGACGAGCAGGAAGTTGATGAATGCAGATGGCTCAGGACCATGTTTGTTCCTGGAAAGGCCTATGTTCAGTAATGGACTTGTGAAGTGAAGGGCTGTAATGATGACAAAATCATTTAATATTTGAATATTCAAAAATATGACATATTTACATAAACTTTCATATCTGTATAGACTAAGGACATCCATTTAGTATAATCCCGACATACATCTCACTTTCACATTAATATACCTACTTGCACATGTTCATTGTGTAAAGGCATTCTTATCTAGTCCCATGTTCAATATATCACCAATTTGGTTAATAAACTTACATTAAGGACATCTTTAGCTGTCTATGTCACTTACTTCTGCTACATTAATTTCATTTGTGATTTATTCGTTTTTCATTCTAGTTTTTTTTTTATATATAAAAGTTAAAATAAGTAATTATACCTACTAAAAATATGTATTTTTTACACCTACACCTGACTGCATTATATAATAAAAACAGTAAATTTGTCAATTCCAAAATCCTGGGATTTTTTCGATACAAAAGTGGAGCGCATTCCACCTACACTTTAGGTAAATATGCATTGGATTATCCGATCACTAATCATCACACTTGCTCACACACATCTACTTGCACAACCAACTTCCCTTCTTATGTATATTCTATATTCTTACTTGCATTCACTTTATTCCCCTTTCTTTTATGACCTGTTCATTAATGTAACCATCATTTGCTACTCTAGCCAACAATGCAAATTTATTGATTCTCAGTGATCGTGTACATATGGCATTTGTCAGTTAACTTACCTGTTCTTAACCCATATTTTTCAACAATTAAAGTTTGTAAATAACTGTCTATAAAATAGATTAAACAGCCTTGTAGAAGCTACATAACCCCTGTCTAACACCTTTACCTTTACTTTGGCATCTACCAATCCAGCCAAAGTAGGTCCCATTGATCCTGCCACAAGCATGAGATTCCAGATAAAGATATTTTAATGCCTGTTTCAGCACAAAGCTCCACCTAACGAAGTTCAGTGTTTGCCAAAAAACAAACCCTGTCCACTGCCATAAGTCCTTATTAAGTCCATAAATGCACAGAAAACTTTCTGGTTTATGGCCAAAAACTTTTCTGTGATCATGGGCATACAAAACAGCTTTTTAAATCTAGCTTGTACATCCCAAATTTCTGCATCATTTTCACAACTATCAAATATTCCGCTTCAGTTAATATATGGCGTCATTAAACCATACTCCCAATTCATAACTAGTCAACTAGTGTAAAATTTGCAAATGTGTCCTGATACCTGATAATAACAAAAAATATTCTTAATATTTACTTTCAATTAATATTTCTTGTATTAGAAAATATTTTGTTATAGATATTAATTATATAATTCACTGATACACAATTTCTTTTAATTAATTTATATTTTGTAGCCAATGATGTCAACCAAGTGAAACTTCATAGTGGTATATCACTAGAGGATAAATCCAAAAAAAGCAAAGCACGCATACATTATCATAAGTTTACCCGAGGAAAAGACTTATCTCGATATAGTGAAAAAGATTTAGCTAACATATTTGGTAAAAAAAGTTTCAAAGAGGAAGCGGAAACGGAAAAATCATTAGATAATAATGTAAAAATAACTGAACAAGTATTTACTGAAAAAGGTAGTATGGAAGATTACTTCAAAAATAAAATTACTGCTTTTAAGTCTAAAACTAATATTTTACGTAAAGAAGACAAGACAAATAAGGATTTAGATGATGAAGCAATATGTGGATTTCAGGGATTTTTAGGAACAACAGACGAAAAAATTATTTCTGATAATTCACCATCTTTATCACATTGCAATATAGACAATAATGCTCAAATAAAAAGTATAGAAAATAATACAGCAATAAATGAGTGTGAAAATCTACCTAAAACAAAGAAAAAGAAGAAGGAAAAGTGTAGGGAAGTAACACAAGAAGTAATGTATAATAATGAAGACGAGGAACCACAAAAAGTAATTGAATATGCTAAAACTAAAAGAGATTCTAAAGATGACAGTCCAGTACAAGAGAGAATCCCTGAGATACAAGAACAAAAAAAATGTAAAAAGCTAAGACAGGAAAAAAATACAAATGAAGAAGCGTATGACACTGAAGATATTATTTATAAACCTAAGAAAAAAAAGAAAAGGAAAAATAAAGATCTTTAAATGTATTTTGATAATGGCCTTCATTAATATTGACCATATACTTCCTCAATTGAATAATTATATGACCTTAAACTTATATTAGTGCCCCATAGGTGTGGTAAGAGGTAGTAGAGGGAAGCTGAAACAGGAAATAGCGAACAGCATCTGATCTCACAATAATAAAAGCTGTGATTGGCGACGAACCTGCTGGCAACTATGGCAAATATCCTCAATCTGTAGAGTAGTAAGTACATTCAGCAGTAGACTTTTGATAGGCTGTAATGATGATGATTAAAAGTGACATAACCCGCATTATTTGAAAGTACTGCAAGTCACAAAACAATTACGCTTATTTCACCAATGCCATAGTATACAAACAACATATTATGTGCTTAGTATGTTATAAAGCCATGCCGCAGCTATATTATAATTGTAGCATGTATGGGTCAGCTTGACTGGGGCAGGACTGCGCTCGCTCAATACCAGTGTAAAATAGCAGCGTAATGCTGCTGTTTCGTATGGTGAGTATAGAGAATTGGAGACCCTTTTTACTGGAAGTGAGGCATTCTATCTTGGTTCTCAGGGGTGGCAACACATTTTCATTTTGATTCTTAATTGAGGATAAATGTGTCTATGGGCTACAGCGTTCGCTTACTACCATCAGGTGGGCTGTGCGCTTGTTTGTCACCCAATGCTCTTAAAAAAATCGCCACTTGCACCAATTTAATTATTAATAGCAATTTTAGGTATTTTGCATTTTCAATTTAGCAGTAAAAGAAATCCAATTGTTTTTGTTTAATATTTTATGTTTAATGCTTTTAGTAGTAGAGCCATACTGCAGCTATATTAGTAGTATAGTTACAGTAAGAATGCAACTGTGCTACTAATATAGCTGCAGGGCAAGACCTCACTCTCACCGAATACCAGCGTAAAATAGAGGACAGAGAATCTGAGACCATTTTTAAGTGAACTGTGCTCATTTGTCACCCTAATCTTATAAAAAAATATATTAATGTGTCATATTATGTATACACCAAGTATTATTACACTAAATATTTTTTATTTAAATAGTACAGAAAATTAGTTAATAAAACTTTTACTCGGTGACTTATATGTAATAAAATGTTGTCAACATCATAATACATCTATGTCTATGTGGTAGAACAACGATGCAGCTCTACCAGTATATTGTGTGTATTATAAGTGTGCACAGCAATTACATGCTTTAATTCCTTTCTCTCTTTTTTTTTGCGCCCGAAGCAAATACGGGAAACCCTTCGGAAAGCGGGGGAGGGAGGCGGTGAATGCTCATAGCATACCACGCAGCCGGCTGCGTGGTTATGTGGAGAGTGGAGACTTTTACCCACTAAACACCGCCTTTATGCATTGGCTTACCGATCTGATGAGAGATCTCTAAGCCGTATACGAACGCGACCCTCCTTGGCAGAAAGGAGGGCGCAATCTCTCTCTCTCTCTCTCTCTCTCTCTCTCTCTCTCCCCTCTCCTTTTCACCATTAGAACACCCTCACACGTTGATTGTCGATATTCCACGCATTAGAACCTAACGGCTTGCTTCGTCTTTCGTAATGCGTACAGCAAAAAAGTGGAATACCTAATTTGCCGAGTGTCTGTCACCCCGTCCGAATATAATCTGGGCGTCTTCAAGACAAGAGTGAATACAGTTATAATTACTTGTAAAAGTAAAGTTACAGCCTATATACGTCCCACTGCTGGACACAGGCCTCCCTTCATTTCTGAGAGGGTTTTAGGGCAAGGAAGTGTCCGCCGCGCTGCCCCAATGCGTGTTGGCGAACTTCACATGTCTTGAAATGTTTTTTTCAGACTCAGACATGCAGGTTTCCTCACGATGTTTTCCTTCACCGCCGAGCTCGTGGTAAATCAGCACAAAATTGCAATTAACAATTTCATTGGTGCCGGCGGGGATCGAACCCGGGTTACTCTCGTTATTTTATATTTACAGCGAGTGTTAACCATCTGAACTACCACAGCTACAAAAAAAAAACGTATACCTATATGTACCTCTTTAAACATGTCAATCTAAAACTGAGATCGAGAAATCTAAAAGATCAACTTAGAGCAAGTCGTGTTACAGGCAGGCACAGAGAGTAATCTGTATCTATATAGAGTATCTGTGTGAGAGAATCTAAGAGATAAGAGGATTATAGCATCATAATTATCTAATGCTTCTTTCACTGGCATACTCCTGTACAAGTATTGTTATAAAACTAGTAAAACGAAGTCCCTTCTATGTGTGTTTTCGTAAAAAATAAAAAGACGCGTTAGTTTCATTGTTAGGTATTCCGAATATTTATTCCATCCGCTGGCCGTTTTAAAGAGGAAGCATGCTTGAAAATTGTACATGGAATCGAAAACTATCTTTCAGATCTTTATAACATGACATCTTTGAAAACTAAACTATTACATAGAACGGTTAAAAATTTCAATCCAATCAAGATAGTAAAAAATATTAATTTAATTCGAGTTCAACTGGACTCGAGACTCAAGTCACTTGAGTTGTCCAATCAACTCTTCTACTCGTAATGACTCGTAATAAATAAACCCACTATGAAACAATGTAAGGTGAGGCCTATGTTCAGCTTCTTTACTCGTGGTTCAGCTGTGGACTTTTGATCGATGCGACGGTAATAGTAAGGAGAATGTGTAATCACCGTTTATGTACGTTAGACTACTACGATAATGTACTCGTAAGCTGTAAATATTCGATACGAACTGTAACTGTTACTATTTGGCGATTGTGAATGATTTCAATACTCGAATGAAATAAATTACTAGCGCTTAAGGGGCTATAGTAAGTCGGCTCAAATTCTAATTTCGCCCCCACTTCCCCGCGCGTCGTATGCTATGTACCGACATGTTTGTAATCACTAATACTGTAAGTAGATAGATCGTTAGATACTTATTTCATTAGGTTTATCATATTTATGCCTGTTTCTTAACGCCAACCCAGTCGCTTCTTATTTTTATTACGGTTATTTCCCATTTTAATTTTACGTCGTCCTGTTGCGTAATGTGTATTCTGATCGGTAAGCGACACAACCTCCCCCTTCAAAGCAGTGGCGAAGTTAGGGCTCCAAACTAGGGCAAGCCCAAGATATGGTTTTCTTGCTTTTAGCAGTTTAATGAAAATACACCAATCTTGAGCTGTCTCCACTCTTTAGTTTCATATTCAGTGCTGACAAGGACGTGTTTAACAAAGCACACAGAAAGCATACTACCGCTAGATAGATTGTATGACATAATATGCAATTGCACACCTTCGGTGGTTTTGAAAAAAGCCGTTTGGGTTTGTTTAAGCGAAAGAAAAAAATATTTACGTCCAATACAATACATGAACAAAAGTAAAAATGAACAAAGTACAAACACACTATGTACAAAGTTAAAAAAAGGGACGCTTGGCAGATATGAAACCTCGAAATTACATTTTGTTTAAGTTATATGCCTAAAAGAACAGATTACGACAGGAGTTAGATAGTTATAATGAGAAGATAAAGCTTTGCTAATTTTTTACCATAAAATAATGACTATTATATTATAATTATTCATTTTCAATTCATAATAAACCGTACAAAATGATATTTTTAAACTCCTATATCACTATAAATTAGCCAATAGCGTATTTGTGCCATCTAGCGTAATCTTTAGGTACCATCGTGAGAATCAACCAATTTTCGTTCGATAAAATGACTTTACCTATAGAATTAGGTAGATGGCGCCATTAAAATTTTTTATACTGAAAAGTAGACAGCGAAATCTAACTGGAAATAACTAAAGGGAGTACTATTCTTTAAAAACCTCAATACATTCTTCTGTATTCTTTTGATTTATTTAATTAAAATTTGGGCTTCACGTTAAAAAAAGATTGTAACACTTATTTCCTCTAAAATTAAACCTAGGTGTCTCATACTTTATGCTGGTGTTCAAATTGATATTCTTAATTCGTATGGTAATATAAATATTGAGTTATCAAACCTTTAAATACGCCTAACTTAATTAAACTTTAATACTAAAGAGTCTTGTACCTATATTTAAAGTATGAAGAAATGTTTATTGAATATTAAATTTCATTTTTAAAGATTTTTACCTTTTCCTCGCCGATTAGCACTTCAACACACTTATATTCATCACAATCAACACTATTATCCTCCCATTTTCACTGAAAATCTTCTATAAAGCATAAATTTTTAACAAACACAACAAAAACAAACATAAACATTTAAATGTGAAGTGAACTTGCATACGAGGGTCCCGCAACCACTTCGCTAGTCGCTAGCTCACTCCTAAACAACTTCATGGCAAGGCCAGGCTTGTTGGCTCAATAGTAATTGCTATATAAATATTTCGTAGTTATATTTCATTATAGAATATTTTGCCATAGGTTAGAAAGAGAGCGATCGTTTTCTCGAAAGCCCCGTAAAAAGCCCACGCGAGCGAGGGAGACAACTAATCGCTCTATTAAAACTCACTTTATGACAGCAGCAGTATCGCCACAGAGTACCTTTGTATAAACGTAACGCTAAGGCAATACGAGGTATCGTCCATGTGTCGAACAGTGGAGTGCGCGGGAAAATTGAAATAATTTGAAACAGTTTATGAGTTATTTTATTAGTTCATATTATTGATTGATTCAGTTTTAGTAAGGCAAGCCCGGCTTTTCGGCTTTTATGGAAGCTTCGCCACTGCTTCAAAGGCCGAAGCGAAACTGACCGGGCGGCAGGAATCAAGCTTCAAGATGCCTATAGTTTAGGTAATTTCTTTTTACAGTGAAAATAATGGTATTTAAAAAAAAAGTAAATAACATAAGCACTGCTTTATAGTTAGTTCAGTTAGTATGCAAAGTTTCATGATCTTATTTAAAGTATTTTATGAATAACAGCGGTTTATTATTCATTTTGGAACTAACTTTGGTTTTTTTTTACGGAATCGTGTTTTCATCTAACATAGTCCTTAACATTAATCCTCAACTTTACCATATATTTATTTCAAAATTAATGCTGCAATATTTTCGGCATAACGGAGGATCTTGCTAAGCCATTTGAGGTTATATTTCCCCTTAATAAATAAGCGAAACACTCGTAAACTATTAACTTGAATCTTCCATCAATTTTATATTATTGATCGAAGGCTTGAACTACGAGTATTAGCTATCGAATATTAAGCGTTACTAATCTATAAATATAATAAATCTACGAAGTTTTTTTGTAATTCAAATAGTTTTTGGCTAAAATAAGTTCAAGGAGACTTAAGTTAATCAGGTAATAGTAGAATTTTCGTTAACTTGATTCACGCAAATGCAACGTAAAATATCATAATTATGGTGGGTCGATAAAACTAGGTAATATAAGCTACGTTTTATCTTACGAAATTACTTGAGGTCATGAAAACTACCCTGGAAACGTAAAAAGTCTTAAATAAAATCATAGGTACGTTTGATTTCAAAGTCAAATCAAATATCTTATAGTAAATTATATAATTAACGTAATTATAGTAAACGTACATTGTTTGTTTGTGCGTTTGCACGTGCTAATCTTCACAACAACTGAACCAATTAGAATGAGGATTTTAGTGATGTATTGAAATAAGCTTGGGCTAACGTATATATTTGTCATCTTTATACTAAATATATAATGTCTATTTCAAGTCTAAAATACGACTCGCACTGTTCGGCTCCATCTTTTATTTACATGCGTTGATTGAACGATTTGATATGCCTTGGTAAAAATAGTGTATTGTTGGGTATAATATCCTACTATGGTTCAGTTAGGGTATAATAAATAATGTCTTCCAAACCACGGGGCGGTGGCCAGTGTTAACAGAGATTAGTCATCAGCGCGGATTATAGTGCACGAGTGTATGTGCCTAAAGCACCACCAATTTCCTGACTTTGGGTTGAAGTTAGTAGGGGGATAATTTTGAGTTGTTATTAGGAAGGTAGCTCCTGAAAACTTCTATTACAGTTTACCCACAGAATGACATGGAGTAATGAGTAGTGGATTTTCTAACACCGTCAATACACGGTTACGACACTCACGGTATTCGCAGCGATCAGCACACCTTTGGCGAAGCCAGTTAAACAATGATTCTTATATCAGCACGTTAATATCAAAATATTTGTAAAAAATTGTAAATACAATATTTTAATAATTGTTTTTATTGGCCTTTGTGGTCTACAAACGTGTATCCTTCCCTACACGCTGTTTAACTGAAGGTCATGCGAGGAAATCTCGTAAAAAGCATGTTAGTTATAAGAATGGATTTCATGTGCCAAAAAGATCGATTTTTTAGATCGGTATATGGTACTGAATCGATCCAGTGGAGCGATATTTCACCCAAGAAAATCGAGATCGAATCTTTTTCTGTTTTTATAAGAACTAAAATGATTTACAATTAGTTGAATGAAAAATTTCTATTCAAAAACTAGCAAAACTGCTGTGTGCTCAGTTTCTTTCGCCTCTTCTTAATGTATTAAATAAATAAAAATAGGTATTGAGGTGACTGATTCCCCTGTGACCATGGGTGCTGGAAAGCACCCGAAACGGGTATTAAAAATAACATAAATAAACGCGATAAAATCCGCAAAAGTAGTTTGAATCAAAGTATAGTGTTTGCGTAAATATAAGAAATCATTATGTAAATCTCAATACATCGAATTGTTTAAATTCTGTAAATAATCGAATGGTTCTATGAGTATTATTCACAAGCGCGACGATAAAATAACATACGCCATACCAATATAAAGTGTATTGTCTATGCTCCCTATTTTCATAGACGTCCCTGTACTCTGTGGCTGCTGGCTGTGGTGACCGCCATGTTGTTTTGTCTCTTTTGACGTAAGTTGTGAAGTAGGTGGAGGTTATTTAGTCATGGAATTTTATTTAAAATTATTCATTTTTATATTTTTGTAGTACATATCACCACAATAGTATTGTTATAGTAACGCATTATGATGAAATATTGATTCAATTATACATTTCTGATAGATTTTGAATATTATCACGTGCTTTCTGCTGTTTTTAAATTTATTGGATTTTGTAATAATATTATCGCATTTTCGTATTAGTGGACACGAAATTCCATTTGTTATGGTTGTACAGAATAGCCAAGACAGGCCTTCCGTGATATTACCAAATACAAATCTGGAGTCAAAAAAGTATATTGTTGTAAAAAATCATGTGCGAGAACTTACGAGTAGGGTTCAAGATGAGTCTTCAGGACAGAAAAGCAAAGCCAGTTATGCAGATATTACTCAACAAAAAGGTGTTATAAAGAAAAATAAACGTAAATTATCAAACTGCACAGAAAGTGCGGAAAAAATAAACACTTGTGAAATAAATAAAAGTGATTTAGATGAATTAAAAGCAGTGTACAGTCAATGTAAAAGTGTTTTAAAAAGTATTGAATCAAAATACGGTCATTTATTAAATTTAATAAATGAAACTCAAGGTATTCATTCTGGTTCAGAGAGCTTTGAGAGTGAAGTGGAATGTGAGTGTAGTCAAAATAAGAAGATTGTTTTTGATGATGAAGGTAAACAAATTGTAAAAGATACTGAATTTGAAAAACACATTTGTTTAAAGAAACTGAAATGCAAACAGAGTAAATTACCTAAAGAAAATTCTAATGTTGAAATTGAATATGAATCAGAAAAAAGTCTCGATTTACCCGATAGCTTAAATGAACTGGGAAATTTGTTAAAAGAACCTTTCATAAATAATCAGCTACGTAGAACAATTATAAACAAAATCAGAGGCATAAGACAAGTGTACATAAATGAGCTCAAGTTTGACAAGCAAGCTTTGGTAGAGAAGTTAAAAACAAACTCTGAAGAAATATTAGAGTTCAAAGGAACAAATCTTTCAACGTTGGCTGGATATCCTGCATGAAATGTAATAAATAAATGGATTTTGTAATTTGAAAATGAATTTTACTTTCTTTTTTATTTAAATTGACGAGTGTTGTGAATACTATATTATACTTAAGAACCTGTGAATGAGTAGGAATTATCATGTTTATGTAGTGGTATTAGACTAAAAATGCTTAAATGTTTGTATTGTTATGTTTGATGTTGTATTATTGTTTATTATAACAAATGTAATCTAAAAGTTTAATCCACTGCTTGTGATTTGGGGACGGTGTGAAGAGAATGCATTGCCGTATTTGGTCTCATTGGTGATGATAAGGTTTTCATGTAGTGCAACCAAACTGCGGCTAACCCACACCCTAAACCACAATAAGGTTGTAGCATGAATGGATTGCTCGACTGGGAAAGGCCCATGCTCTCAAAAATGTTAGTATTAAATAGAGGTTTTAAGTTTATGTGTTTCATATGGTGCTTGTAGAGAATCGAAAACAATTTTTACTTATTACTTTTTATATGTTTTATATGTGACAACACATCAGCATATTGATTCTTAATCGAAGATAGATGTAGGAGACAATAGGCCACACCATTCACTTACAATCAGATGGACTGTGTGCTTGTTTGTCATTCTTATAAAAAAAAAAATTATAAGTCTACCTTCTATTGGAAATGCTTGTTCATTGTCAGTAATCACAAATCTTCCTACCTGAGTAGTAAGGTCATTATTGCAAATCTTCAAACAGGAAATACTCAATAATGCAGTGTAGACTGAGAAATTAGAATAGCAGAGACTAGTTATTCAATGGGTGTTTTTTTTTTCATAAGAATGCTGACTTTAAATTCAATCATTAAAAAAATCTGGTGTGGGATTTTATCACCTCACCTCATTTCATGATGTCATTAGATTGTGTCAGTCATAAGATTGGCTTATGAATTATAAGTAAAAAGTTACAGCCTATACATCCCACTCTTAAGTAAAGGCCTCCTGTATCTGAGATGGTTTTTTTTTTTATTTCCTGACATGCCAGTTTTCACACATTGTTTGCCCTTATCACCAAATCAGCAAGTAAATTAACACTTTCGGCAATTAGCAATTTCTTGGTGCTGGCGGGGATCAAATTCGAATTCTTTCATATTTTTTAATTTACAGTGATTGCTTAAAACCCTGAGTAGTGATTGCAATCCGGATTCTTCAAAATTCGAAAAATAGCTGAAAAATCCGGATTTTCCAGAGTTTTATAAATCCGGTTTTTAATAATATTTTACATTTATCCACAAATTTTCATTCTAACTAATGAACAGGTAGGTTACCTACTCTAATACGCTAATACATTCAGTTTATGATTGTGTTTTGTTATTTATTTTCATCATCACCACCCTCATTACAGTCCTTAACATCCACTGCTGAACAGAGTCCTCCCCCAAGGAATGCCACAAAGCACGGTCCTGAGCCACCTGCATCCATCGACTTCCTCATGTCTTACCAGGTCGTCACTCCATCTAGTGTGGGGCGACCCCACACTACGCCTACCGGTACGAAGCTGTCACTTGAGAACCATTTTTTCCCATCGGTTGTCAGTTCTTAGAGCTATATCCATCCCATTATGTCCATTGCCACCTCAACTTACTAATCCGTTGGGCTATGTCGGTCACTCTGCTTTTACTGCGGATATCCTCATTTCTAAGTTTATCACGCAGAGTAACCCCAAGGATAGCCCTTTCCATAGTTTGCTGAGCGACCTTGAGTGTCCTTATACGGCCAGCAGTGAAGGACCATGTTTCAGATCCATAAGTAACCACTGGCAACAGGCACTGGTTGTACAGTCTCGTTTTTAGGTTTTGAGGTATATCTGACGAGAAGATGTGTTGTAATTTCCCGAACGCTGCCTAGCCGAGCTGAATCCGTCGATTAACCTCTCGGTTAAAGTTGGACTTACCTAGTCGGACTATTTGTCCCAGGTAAACTCACTCGTTAACAACCTCGAGCTTAGTGATCCCAACAACTACCGGCATGGGTGTGACATGGACATTAAACAGGATCTTTGTTATGTACCTGTTCATCTTAAGACCTATCTGTTGGGAGACACTATTGAGTTCATTGAGCATAGCGCTTAGGTCCTCCAACGATTCTGCCATAAGGACTATATCGTCGGCAAATTGAAGGTGAGTGATGTACTTGCCATTGATGTTAATACTGTATCCTTTACAGTCCAGTAGCTTGAAAACGTCTTCCAATACAGCGGTGAAGAGTTTCGGGGATATAACCCTCATCACCCTGTCTTACACCTCTCTGCAGTTAGATAGGTTTCCAACTTAACGTTTAGGTTCAGTGTGCCTCTAACCGTTAGGTGATCGCTTCCAGTTTCCACCCTTGCGATCACTGAGACATTACTGAACAGTTGCCGTCTAGTCGTCATAATGAAGTCAATCTCATTTTTTCTCGAACCGTCGGGGTTCGACCAGGTTCACTTTCTGTGGGGCCGCTTCTGAAAGAAAAGAGTTCATCATAAAGAATCCCTCTTTCTCCATGAATTCGGCCAGCTGCTGGCCCCCTGGGTTCCCTTGCCTTTTCTCAAATTTCCCTACCTTCAGCTCACCGATTTTTCTTGTGCCTAGCTTTGTGTTGAAGTCTCCCATTAACACCGTATAGTGTGTTTTGAAGGAATGCATGGTTTTAGAAATATTTTCATGCGTTTCCTCCACCTCCTCATCGGGATGTGCGACGTTTGTGCGTAAGCCTGTATGACCTTCAGCGAATACCGTTTGGTGATTCTGAGTATAAGGTACGCAACCCTCGTCGACACACTTCCAATCTTTATAAAGTTGTTAACGAGAGACTTGTGGACGATAAACCCAACGCCTCCTTGGGACAGATGGTAATCCTCTCGGTGATTGAACGAGTTGCCGGATTCGAGAATCACCGTGTCTTCACCCTCTCTTCGGACCTCGGATAATCCTATAATATTCCAACACAACTTGTCTATCTCTTCTTCCAGTTCCAGGATCTTCTCGTCAGTCCTCAGGGTGCATGCGTTGTAATTTGTCAGGTCGAGTCGTTTCAGGTGGCAACTGAACCTCCACTGGAGATTCTTAGCACCCCCTGCCCTGCAGTTACCATGGTCTGGGGGCCGTCTGCGTCGTTGCTCATGGGGGTATATTGCCATAGTTGCCACGCTTGGCGAGCGGGTTGGTAACTGTAGTTTTTTGTTACTTTTATCAGGAAGATGCTGCTGCCCATCTTCTGCCTGCTTCCCTCAGTGGCCTTTTACGACACCCACGGGAAGATATGGGGTAATGGATATTCTTAACCGCCACTACACGGTTTTTGTTTATTTTCGTTGATTTTATTCCGTCGTGTCAGAATAAATGCAGATTTTAAATTATTAAAACTTCGAAAAATCCGGATTATCCGGATTTTAATCAAAGGAAAATTCCAAAATTTGGATTTCAAAAAAACCCGGATCTTGCAATCTCTAACCCTGAGCTCAAACATCGGATAATATGGGTATTAATGTAATTTTTGTAGCACATCTTATTATCGGTTAATAAATTAAATGAAAATTTATTAAATGCGGCTGATCGCAGTAACGAGAGAATCCTGTGCCCAGCCGTGGGACGTATATAACCGATTTAAAAAAGGTGGAGGTTCTCAATTCGACTTTGTTTTTTTGTGTGTTATCTCAGAATTTTTTAATGGGGTAATGGATATTCTTAACCGCCACTACACGGTTTTTGTTTATTTTCGTTGATTTTATTCCGTCGTGTCAGAATAAATGCAGATTTTAAATTATTAAAACTTCGAAAAATCCGGATTTTAATCAAAGGAAAATTCAAAAATTTGGATTTCAAAAAATCCGGATCTTGCAATCTCTAACCCTGAGCTATCAAACATCGGATAATATGGGTATTAATGTAATTTTTGTAGCACATCTTATTATCGGTTAATATGTTAAATGAAAATTTATTAAATGCGGCTGATCGCAGTAACGAGAGAATCCTGTGCCCAGCCGTGGGACGATGTATATAACCGATTTAAAAAAAGGTGGAGGTTCTCAATTCGACAAAAATAAATTGTGTGTTATCTCAGAATTTTTTTCAAGGTGAACCGATTTTGATGATTCTTTTTTTATTTGAAAGTTGGTACTTCTCATGTGGTCTTATATAAAATCCTTAATAATGCGTATTTAATTGACTTCGACAACATTAAAATAAATAAAAAACATCATCAATGTTGGTTGTACAATTTTTTAAATTTTATCACTTGTTTAACCATAGATATAATAAAGAAGATATTTCTATGTGTTTAACATAATTATTGGCTCAGATTATAGAACACTGAGGTTCTGAGGTAGGTGGAGGTAGGTAAATGGCTATTCTTGTTTATTGGCGCCGTTTAAGTTAACCGTTTTTAAATCATCTCGAAAAGCTGCTCAAAAATTTACCTAAGTTAAGTTTGTAATAGTTTAAAGAAATTATATTATATCTAACATTGCAAAGAGTAGAATGTCCATTGTCTGTAAAACGGCATATTATTATGATTATCAGCACATGCACGGTTCCGTTTGCCATTGCAATTTGCACCTTCTTGCATTAAAATAGAATTTTTGATCGGCGGCATGGATAATGTGATGGTAGTTTTTATAGCATAGTATTGAATTGCAGACTGAATACCAAAGCGACACGGTCGCATACCGTACCATGCGTACGCGACGCGACGGCTTTGTGAAACTGGAATTCGATTTAGGACGGTACACGATATTAGATGACCGATGTACATTATATTAAGACTATTGTTTTTAGTGAGGTTAAATTACATTAACTGTATTCTGTGCATTTTATTGTTAATTTTTCTTTTCAAAAGCATATCTACCCTTCTACAAAACGTTAACCTATCTTGCCTGCAGTCCTAATTGAAACAAAAATTTCATAGATTGGTAATAAATAGGAAAGCTGTATTTTGAAGAATGAAATATTTAGAGGATATTGTGTAGTCTACAACACAGAGAAAGAGCAACGTGGCGG